ATATTATATATTATATATTATATATTATATATTATATATTATATATTATATATTATATATTATGTATTATATATTATATATTTATTTTATATTATATATATTTTATATTATTTATTATGTACTATATATTAAATATTATACACCATATGTTTTATACTGTATATTATGTATATTATATATCTAAGCTAATAAACAGAAACTGCTGCATATACACCTCAGTGAAGACGGGTGAAGAGACAGCCTATCTCTTTACAGAGACAACTCAAATTCTTTCTTCTTATTCAATATCAAATAGCAGGGGTGGGTGTTGCTGCAGCAGCAAACTGCTGCTGCTGTTGCTGCTGCTGCTGCTACTGCTTCTGCAGCTTTAGTTCTATCAGCAAAGGCAGCAAACGATAAACACAAGAAATTATTAACAACAAGAATTGCTGCTGTTGCTGCTGCTGCTGCTGCTCCTGAATTGCTGCAGTGGCCCCCTCGCAGCAGCTGGCAGCAGCAGCAGCAGCTACTACTACTGCTGCTGCTGCTGCTGCTGCTGCTGCAGTAACAGCTGCACAGCCGTCGTGTTTGAGTAAAATGAATATGCTGAGTTTGTTAATTTCTAATAAATTCTTTTCTTCAGTCAATAATAATTTTATCTCTTCTTTAGCTGCTCCGCTGTGCTGCAGCACCTCAAGATCCACCGGTCATTGGCGGCAGCAGCAACAGCAGCAGCAGCAGCAGCAGCAACAGCAGCAGTAGTAGCAGCAGCAAGAGCGACGCATACACTTTTGCACTAAATATTCACTCGGCTTCTATTGTCTTTAGCCTTCCTGCATCGGTCTTCATTCTTTTCTCGTTGCTGCTGCTGCTGGTGCTGCAGCTGCTTCTTACGTTCTTGCTGCACTGCAGCCGCTGCTGCTGCTGCTGCAGCAGTGCAGCAGCAGCTCTTTTACTGGTTGCTGCAAGCCGCTGCCCTTGGCCGCTCATGCAGCCTCGCGAGTAGGGGGCCTGTTGCTGCTCCGGTAGCCGTGCAGCAGCGGCGGTAGCAGCAGCAACGGCAGCAGCAGCAGCAGCAGCAGCACCCCTCGTGCTGCAGCATAATGGACACCCCTCGTATGCTCCAGGCGCAGTATCAGGGCGAGAGGGGCTCTCCTGCTTACAGCAGGAGCACCAGCAACCCTACCCCAAGCAGCAGCAGCAGCAGCAGCAGACGGCGACACAGCGGTAGTGCTGCTGTGTGTCGGCTTGTCTTTGCAAGTGGCTCTGCTGCGTACGACGGACGTTACCGCAGCAGCAGCAACAGGAACAGCAGCAGCAGCAGCAGCAGCAGCAGAAGCTGCAGCAGCAACAGGAACTGCAGCAGCAGATATGTCTACCCCCCTAATCAACATGAAGGGTATCAGCACTGCAGCACAGGCTGGCCAGTGCTGCGGCCTCCGGCGTTGCAGCTGCGCGACTCGCCGCTGCAGTACAACAGCAGCAGCTACAGGTGTTGCAGCAGCAGCAGCAACAGCAGCAGCAAGGCTTACCGGTCGACCTATCCGTACAGCAGCAGCAGCAGCACCTACAGCAGCAGCAGCAGCAGCAGCAGCTACAGCAGCAGGGGAGGAAACTGCAGGGGCGGCGATGGTCGCTATCAAATAAGAGAGTGTAGGCGAAGCCCACCGAGATTGCCTGCTTCCTATCCTTACAGCAGCAGCAGCAGCAGCAGCAGCAGCAGCAGCAGGCATGTTATACCTGTAAAGTTTGCTGCCGATGCATGCAGCACAGAGGGCAGCAGCAGCAGCAGCAGGGATAACTGCAACTACAGCTACAGTAACAAGAATAGCAATGGATGCACCAGCAACTGCAGCAACAGCTGCAGCAACGGCTGCAGCAGTAGAAACAGCAACAACTGCAGCAACGGCTGCAGCAATAGAAACAGCAGCAACTGCAGCAGCAGCTGCAACAACACCTGCAGCGGTAGGTGCAGCAGCAGCAGCTGCAGCAGCAGCAGCAGCTGTATTCCTCACCGCAGAGGTGTCATTACAGCGCAGGAGCAGCAAACGATCGACCAGCAGTGTGGGTTCATGCAGCAGCAGCAATCGCAGCAGCAGCAGCAGCAGCAGCCGCAGCAACTACAGCAGCTGAAGCAGCAGCAGCCGTTTCACGAAGCAGCGGGCGATCCGCAGCTGTTGCAGCAGCACAAGCCGCAACAGCAAATGCTGCAGCAGCAGCTGCAGCAACCCCAACAGCAGTTGCGGCAGCAACACATTAGCGAAGTGCCGCATGATGGTCTGGGACAGCAGCAGCAGCAGCAGCAGCAGCAACCGCAGCAACTTCAGCAGCAGGAGCTGCAAGACCAGCCGCCGCAGCAGCAGCAAATGATGCAGCAACACCAAAACGAGTTGCAGCAGCAGCTGTATATCCAAGAGCAACTGCAGCAAAGACTGCAGCAGCTCCTGCAGCAGCAGCAGCAGCAGCAAGGACAGTTCTCTCATCATCTGGCTAAGCTGTTCTCGAATCCCCCTGACTTCGAGCCACACAAGCTGCAGCAGCTGCAACCGCAGCAGCAGCAGCAGCAACCGCAGCAGCAGCAGCAGCAGCAGCAGCCGCTGCAGCTGGAGATACAGCAGATGATGCTGCAACAAACGCTACACCACTTGCCTGCATTAACTGCAGCCTGGGCTGCACAGCAGCAGCAGCAACAGCAGCAGCAGCAGCAACAACAACAGCAGCAGCTGCAGCAGCAGCAGCAGCCACTGCAACCGCCGCAGCAACAATCGGAGCAGCAGCACAACTTGCAGGAGCAGCAGCAGCCGCAACTGTCGCATCAGATGGCGGAGCCGACGCAGAGTCACCCCGAGCAGCAGCAGCAGCCGCTGCAGCAGCAGCAGCAACAGCAGCATCAGCCACAGCAGTCGCAGCCCGTGCAGCATGAGTCACTGCAACACGGGCAGCAACAGCAGCCGCTGGTGCAGCAGCAGCAGCAGCAGCAACAGCAGGTGCAGCAGGCCCCTCAAGGGCCGCTGCAGCGGCCAGTGACGCAGCAGCAGCAGCAGCAGCAGCATTTAGTAGCACCCCAACGCATGCAGCCACCCCCACCGCCCCCACCTGAAGAGCACAAGGAACAGCAGCAACAGCAGCAGCAGCAGCACGTGCAGCTGCAGCAGCTACCGGCGCAGCAGCAGCAACAGGGCTCGCAACAGCCGACACAGCAACAATACCAGCAGCAACTACTGCTGCGGATGCAACACAAACTAATGCAGCAGCAGCAGCAGAAGCAGCAGCAGCAGGGGCGGCAGCAAGAGCAGATGGAGGCGCCGCAACGGAGACAGCAGCAGCAGCAGCAGCAGCAGCCGCAGTGGAAGCAGCCTCAGCAGCCGCAGGAGCAGGGACAGCAGCAGCAACACCCAAAGGAGCAGCAGCAGCAGCCCCCGCCGCCGCCGCCGCCGCCGCACCAGCAGCAGCAGCAGCAGCAGCGTCAGGTGCAGCAGGTCCACCAGTCTGAACAGCAGCAGCAGCAGCAGCAGCAGCCCCAGCATGAGCAGCAAAAGCACAGGAGGCGCACCTGGCTGCAGCAGCATTCTGAGGAGGAGCAGCAGCAGCGCGAGCTTGAGGCTTTCATGCGACAGCATAAAAGCAGCAACACGACTAACAGCAGCAGCAGGAGCAGCAGCAACAACAGTTGCAGGCTCAGTAGGTTTGATGCAGCACACAGGAGAGAGCAGCAGCAGCAGCAGCAGCAGCAGCAGCAGCAGGCACAGTCTCACCTCGGGTTAGGGGCAGAGGCGGTCTCCGCAACTCCCAGGCCTCGTTTGCAGGAGTTGCTGCTGCAGCAGCAGCAACAGCAGCAGCAGCCGCAGCAACCGCAGCAGCAGCAGAAGCAGCAGCAGCAGCGACAGCCGCTCCTCTGGCAGCCGCAGCAACCGCAGCAGCAACTGAAGCAAAAGATGCAGCCTGCAGAACAAGGAGCTGCACAACAGCTGCAAATGCAGCAGCAAGGACCGCAGCAGCAGCAGGAATTAGTCAAGCCGAAACCGCAGCAAGAACAAGTGCAGCAGCAGCAGCAGCCTCAGCAGCAGCAGCAGCAGCAGCAACAGCAGCAGGTAGCCACATTGTCTGAACACCTCGGTGATGAATGCAGCAACAAGAGCAGCAGCACCAACAGCAACAGCAGCAACAGCAGCAACACCAGCAGCGACAACAGCATCAGCAGCAGCAGCAACAGCACAACCCCTTCTTTAACGCTGAGCAGCAGCAAACCCAAAAGGAGCCGCTGGGGCAGCACTCGCCGTACAGCACTGCCACAAGGAGTTGCTGCTGGAGAACAGCAGCAACAGCTGCAGCAGCAGCAACAGCAGCAGCAGCAGCAGCAGGGACGGCAAGAATCGGCAGGCGGGTCAGAGGGTGCATCGGCGTCCAGCAGCAATAAGGCAAACGCAGCAGCAGCAGCAGCAGCAGCAGCAACTGCTGCTGTTGCTGCTGCTGCACCACAGACCTCCTCGGGCCCTCCCTCTAAGGAAGTATCTGCGCATGCAGCAGCTGCTGCAGCAGCTGCTGCAGCACCTGGCGCAGCAGCTGCTGCTGGAGCATCAGCTACAGAAGCAGCAGCAGGTGCAGCAGCAGCAGGCCATACCACGGCTGTTCTCACAGCAGCAACGCGGGTAGAGCATGAGCCTGCTGCTGCTGCTGGTGCTGTTGCTGCTGCTGCTGTTTGTTCTGCAGACTCCGCAACTGCAGCCGAACGCCCAGCGTCTGATTCACCAGCAAAAGACGCAGCAGCAGCAGCAGCAGAAGCAGAACAGCCAACAGCAACAGCAGCAGCAGCAGATGGAGCTTTAGCGGCAGCTGCAAACCGGCAGCAGCAAAACACAGCAGCAGCACCTGCTGCAACACCTGCTCCTGTTGATGCTGCAGTACCTTCTGCTGCAGTATGTTGTGCTGCCGCTGCTGTTTCCCCTACTGGGGCTGCTGCTGCTGCTGCGGCGCCTGCTGCTGCACCACCTGCTGCTGCGGCAGCTTCTAATGCGTCTTCGTGCGCAGGGGTCAGTGCTGCAGCAACAGCAGCAGAAGTAGCCATTGCTGCTGCTGCTGCTGCCCCTGGTATCGTTGCAGCAGATTCTTTTGCTTTGAATCCAGCAGCAGCTGCTGCTGCGAGTACGGATGACGCCCCCAAAGAGCCTGCTGCTGCTGCTGCTGCTGCTGCCGCAGAGCCACCAGCTGGCGCTGCAACACTTCCTGCTGCTGCAGAGGCAGCAACGGCAGTAACAGCAGCAGCTGCTGCTGCTGCTGAGTCTGCTGCAGCAGCAGCAAAGGAAACTTTTTCGGCCGTGAATACTTCGGCGGCAGCGAATGCAGCGTCAAGTGCTGCTGCTGCAGCAACAGCAGCAGCAGGCGCTGCAGCAGAAGCAGCAACACCAACAGAAACAGAGAAACCCTTCTTTTCTCAGCTGTCTGCTGCAGCGCAGCAGAGGATGCGGGTGCTGCGGCAGCGGAGGCAGCAGCAGCAGGAGAGGCAAGAGCATCTTTCACAGGAGCAGCAGCAGCAGCAGCAGCAGCAGAAGCAACTGCAAGAACAGCAGCAGCAGCAACAACAACAACAGCAGCCGCTGGAGACGCGAAAGGAAGTTTTGCAGAAGCTGCAACGTGTGCAGCAGTTCCGCGAATTAAGGCAGCAGCAACAGCAACAGCAGCAGCAGCAACAGCAACAGCAGCGGCAGCAGCAGCAGCAGCAGCATGAACAGCAGCAGCGGCAACAGCAGCAGCTGCTCGAGCAGCGACATCAGCAGAACCAGGCCCGACAGCAGCTGCAGCAGCAACAGCAACAGCAACAGCGGCAACAAGAGCAGAAGCGTGAAGAGCAACAGGAACAGCTGCAGCAGCAGCAACAGCAACAGCAGCATTGGCAGCAGCAACAGAGAAGCCCGTCGCTTGTATGGGTTGATGCAGATTCTCTTGTTGTTGTTTTCGATGAGGAGGAGCAGCAGCAACAGCAGCTGCTGCAGCAGCAGCAGCAGCGAGAGCAGCAACTGCAACTGCAGCAACAGGAGCAGCAACTGCGGCAACGGCAGCAGCATCTACAGCACCTAGCGAGGCAGCGACAACAAGAGCGCGACGCGCAACAGCAGCAGCAGCAGCAGCAACAACAGCAGCAGCAGCAGCAGCAGCAGCAGCAGAAGCACCCTTCGACATGGAAGCAAAGTGCCCTTACCCCTGAAATATCATCAGGGGAAGGCGCAGCAACCGCAGCAACGGGCCACACACCCGCTGCTGCTGCTGCTGCTGCTGCTGCTGCTGCTGTGGTAACACCTTCAACAGCAACATCTGCAGCAGTTTCATCTGCATCAGCGGCAGACGCTGCCTATGCATCGCCGCCAGCAGCAGCAGCTGCTGCTGCTGCTCGTTCTGCTGCTCCAGCGGCTGGGGCTGCAGCAACAGTAACGAATTCTGCTGCAGCAACATCGACACCGACTTCTACCCCTGCTGCTGCTGTTGCTGCTGCTTCTGCTGCTGCTGCTGCAACTCCAGCAGCTACACCAGCTGCACTGGCGGCTACTGTATTAACTCCCGGGGAGCAGCACGTGCGGCAACAGCAGCAGCTTCAGCAACAGCAACAGCAACTTCGGCAGCAGCAGCTGCTGCAGCAAAAGCTTCTGCAGCAGCAGCAGCTCCAGCAACAGCAGCAGCTTCAGCAACAGCAGAAGCTCCAGCAGCAGCAGCTTCAGCAGCAGCAGCAGCAGCAGGTACAGCAGAGCAAGCAGCAGCAGCAGCAGCAGCAGCAACTGCAACAGATGCAGCAGCTGCAGCACGTTAGGAATGTAAGGGCTTCTGCGGATGCACGGACCACCCCAGAGAGTCGCAGCAGCAGCAGCAGCAGCAGCAGCAATGTATCTGTGCAGGCGGAGCTGCAGCAGCTGCATGCAAATGTCGCTCGGCTAGAGACGCTCGATGCACTTCTGCATGGCCGTGCTGCAGCAGCAGCAGCAAAGACGAAGCTGCTGCAGCGCGAACTTGATGCAGCAAAAGGAGAACTAGAAAAAACTCTCTCAGAAAGGGTAAGGCGCCATCCTGCTGCTGCTGTTGCTGCTGCTGTTGCTGTTGCTGTTGCTGCTGTTGCTGTTGCTGTTGCTGTTGCTGCTGTTGCTGCTGCTGGAGCTTTTTCTGTGCTGCTTGTTTCTGCTGCTTCGTCAGCTTGCAAGGCGAGAGGCTCTCTTGCTGGGTTGGCCGTCTAGTGTCTGCTGCTGCTGCTGCTGCTGCTTATCATGCATGCACTGCTGCTGTGCTTGTGCTGCTGCTGCTGCTGCCGATAGTATTTATGTTGCTGCTGCTAGCTGCCATGCATATTGTCTGCTGCTGCTGCTGGTTGCTGTTGCTGCAACTCCCTGCTTCTGTCCTGCTGCTTCAACACCTCCTGTTGCTGCAGCACCTGCTGCTGCTGCAGTTGCTGCTGCTACTGCTGTGGCTGCACACCAGAAGGTGATGCTGCTGCAGCAAGTGAGGCTGCTGCAGCAAGAACTGCTGTAGTTCGCTGCCCCGCTGCAGCCAGCTAATGTGGATGTCTTGACAGCAGCAGCAGCAGCTGCTGCTGTAGCTGTTGCTACTTCGGTAGCAGCAGCTGCTGCTGGAGCAGCAGCAGCAGCCGCTGCTGCTGCTGTAGCTGTTGCTACTTTGGTAGCTGCAGCTGCTGCTGTAGCA